ATACTCCTCTTTGTGGCATTCCGAATCAACATTGTGACCCTGAACATGTTGGGGGAAATGCTGAGAAAGACTCTGACTTACAGATATACACATGTCTTCTTTAGTTTACAAGTCTTTACAAGAGAGAAGTCAAACCCTTCAGACATAGTTTTAGACATAGCTATAATTTTAGACAAATACCTTTCATTTGTAGATTTTAGTTATTTTATACACTGCTCTTCTTTTATGCTTGTAACTGGCAATTAGCCTCCGGGGCCGGGGCATGAACAGGAATATGAATCAGCATGTGTCTGCTCAGTTGTGAATGATCTGTTCAATTTCCACAATGTCGCAAGGGTTTCCTGGAATTTCACTTCGTAGGAAAGTGGTCCAGAATGTAGGACATACACTTGAAAGGCATGTGGGGAATCCTGGAATGTGGACCAGAATGTCAGAATGTAGGACATTTGAAAGGCATGTGGAGAATCCTGGAATGTGGACCAGAATGTCAGAATGTAGGACATACACTTGAAAGGCATGTGGGAAAGGAATGTGGGTATGATTGTAGGTATGTGAGGAAAGCAGACTGATTGTCGGCTGAAAAGAGAGATCACTTTGGCTTGGTTTGAGGCAGTCATCACAGGGAGGTACAGATTTGCGGCCTGAGTTCAGAGATTATAAGCCTGGTAACCAGTCTCAGCGGGTCAGCTTAGAGGTGTTTTCCGATCCCATCAGGGAAACACGGCGGTCTGTTTCACCACTACAAGGGCTAGTTTTCAGTTCTGTGTGGTTGTCCAAATGGGGACCTTCCACGTGCTTCTTACGGCCTGGCAATCCTTAGAAGGTAATACAACATCCAATGTATTTATGAATAAAAAGAGCCCTATAGGACACCTGTGTCGATCGTAAAAAGTAAAAATCTTCCTCTGTTGTTGGAACTGTGATAGATTTGTGTGATTTTAATTTTAGGTGAAACGTAAGTCTGTTATAAAGGACTATTAAATGTACAGGAAATAATCTGCCATTGAGAATGATTACCCGGGGAATAATTGTCCTATAACAAAATTGATCTAGTCGAAGGATTTGGTTATGCTTACCTAACGTTAACAACCTATCAAGTTGAACGTCAATATCTGATGTCCACAAGAAATATTATATTAAACTACATATGAGACCTCACCTATCGAAAATGTACACAACCAATTCTGTAAAAATGTTCTTGGTGTATTTAGAAATAGTAAGCAATGTCGCCTGTAGAGCAGAATTAGGTAGACTTCCTTTAGATACAGATATTTGTATATAGATATACTAGTAGTTAAATTCTGGTTATGCTTGGTCCAAATGGACACAACCTCACACTCCCTTCAAACGGATGCTCTCTCTTACAGCAAAGCCTACAAATACCCGTAGACAAACTTTATTGCAACGTGTTAAAGACATACCGGTATTAGATCATAATGGATACTCCTCTTTGTGGCATTCTGATAACTCACATTGTGACCCTGAACATGTTGGGGAAATGCTGAGAAGGAGACTTACAGATATAACGTTACACATGTCTACAGTTATAAAAGAGAAGTCAAACCCTTCAGACATAGTTTTAGACTTAGACGTAGCTATAATTTTAGACAACTACCTTTCATTACGTGGATTTTAGTTATTTTATATACTGTTCTTCAATGTTCTTTTATGTTTGTAACTGGCAATTAACCTCCGGGCATGAATTTGCAATAAACTTCTCAATTATTATATAGAGAAAGATATAGTACCTGTTCAAATGCAGCAGAGTTGAAGACTGTCGATGATACGTAGGGGAAGATGTTCTACACTAATTCAGAAAACTCACTTACTGCTTACATCATTAACATCATGGGAGCTATAGCTATATGAGCTAGATAATGTTGCATGGGAGTGGACAGGGATGTAAATCAGCATGTGTCTGCTCAGTTGTGAATCTGTACAATTTCCATAATGTCCCAAGGGTTTCCTGGAATTTCACTACGTAGGAATGTGGGCATAGATGTGTGTCAGCAAAATCCCAGACATGCCTGTAGACATTCCATTCCTGTGGGAAAAAATGCCTGTGCAATTCCTAGAATTCTTGCAAACTGCACACAATACTGTACTGTGAATGTGGGTATGATTGTAGGTATGTGAGGAAAGCAGACTGATTGTCGGCTGGAAAGAGAGATCACTTTGGCTTGGTTTGAGGCAGTCATCACAGGGAGGTACAGATTTGCGGCCTGAGTTCAGAGATTATAAGCCTGGTAACCAGTCTCAGCGGGTCAGCTTAGAGGTGTTTTCCGATCCCATCAGGGAAACACGGCGGTCTGTTTCACCACTACAAGGGCTAGTTTTCAGTTCTGTGTGGTTGTCCAAATGGGGACCTTCCACGTCCTTCTTACGGCCTGGCAATCCTTAGAAGGTAATACAACATCCAATGTTATTTATAGAAATAAAAAGACGCCCTATAGGACACCTGTGTCGATCGTAAGAAAGTAAAAATCTTCCTCTGTTGTTGGAACTGTGATAGATTTGTGTGATTTTAATTTTAGGTGAAACGTAATTCTGTTATAAAGGACTATTAAATGTACAGGAAATAATCTGCCATTGAGAATGATTACCCGGGGAATAATTGTCCTATAACAAAATTGATCTAGTCGAAGGATTTGGTTATGCTTACCTAACGTTAACAACCTATCAAGTTGAACGTCAATGTCTGATGTCCACAAGAAATATTATATTAAACTACATATGAGACCTCACCTATCGAAAATGTACACAACCAATTCTGTAAAAATGTTCTTGGTGTATTTAGAAATAGTAAGCAATGTCGCCTGTAGAGCAGAATTAGGTAGACTTCCTTTAGATACAGATATTTGTATATAGATATACTAGTAGTTAAATTCTGGTTATGCTTGGTCCAAATGGACACAACCTCACACTCCCTTCAAACGGATGCTCTCTCTTACAGCAAAGCCTACAAATACCCGTAGACAAACTTTATTGCAACGTGTTAAAGACATACCGGTATTAGATCATAATGGATACTCCTCTTTGTGGCATTCTGATAACTCACATTGTGACCCTGAACATGTTAGGGGAAATGCTGAGAAGGAGACTTACAGATATAACGTTACACGTGTCTTCTACAGTTATAAAAGAGAAGTCAAACCCTTCAGACATAGTTTTAGACTTAGACGTAGCTATGATTTTAGACAACTACCTTTCATTATGTGGATTTTAGTTATTTTATATACTGTTCTTCAATGTTCTTTTATATTTGTAACTGGCAATTAACCTCCGGGCATGAATTTGCAATAAACTTCTCAATTATTATAGAGAGAAAGATATAGTACCTGTTCAGATGCAGCAGAGTTGAAGACTGTCGATGATACGTAGGGGAAGATGTTCTACACTAATTCAGAAAACTCACTTACTGCTTACATCATTAACATCATGGGAGCTATAGCTATATGAGCTAGATAATGTTGCATGGGAGTGGACAGGGATGTAAATCAGCATGTGTCTGCTCAGTTGTGAATCTGTACAATTTTCACAATGTCCCAAGGGTTTCTTGGAAATTCACTACATAGGAATGTGGGCATAGATGTGTGTCAGCAAAATCCCAGACATGCCTGTAGACATTCCATTCCTGTGGAAAAAAAATGCCTGTGCAATTCCTAGAATTCTTGCAAACTGCACACAATACTGTACCATTAGGCTCCCCCTGAGGCGTCGCCAAAAAATAT